AAATAATATTTTATTTAAAAACATTTTTATAAAGAGATGGAAGTTTGAGAATTTGTATCAGAGTGCACAATGTAGACAGGGAGCACCTTCTGCACCTTCACATTAGAAAGCATATACTAATATCTAGAGCAAAGTTTAACTAAAGACAGAAAGAAGGAGAGAATGCTGAAGAGAGAATTACTACTGTGAAGCATGTTTAGGATGGGGCTGAGAACACAGAGAGGCAGAGCATCTGACTCTGCTTTGTGGCCAATGAGCAAACTTTGGTCTTTCTATATCTCTCACTAATACATTGGATTAGAAACAAGAGTCAAGAAGTACTTAAGTATTTTAATTAGTTCTGTCCCCTAAAATATCAGCCAGTGAAGACGATGGGGGATGGGGTAAAGAACTCTGGGATTGGGGGTCAGGAGGGGAGGCAACATTTGGGATGTAAATAAATAAAAATAATTAGTTTTAAAAAAAAACAGTCATCATGGACCAAGAGTCTGAAGTGAAAATAACCCTTCTCAGACAGGTAGGTCCTCCTGAGCCTGCTCTCTTCCATACAGACTACATTCCTTCATACACCGGAACAATATGTGTAGTCAACATCACATAACATTTACTTCACTCTAGGACATTTAGAAAGGAGATGATGTACAGAGAAATTGATCATATGATCTTCAAGCATCAGTTGATCACATCAATTCCTAGAAGCTGAAGGAATTCTCTAGAGATACCAGTGGATACATGGAAGTCATGAAATGATGAACTGAGATCCAAGGTTCCTTGTACCCCAGGAGTTCTCAAAGGAAGATCTATGGATGTCTTCCATGGACATCACATCCCTTTCTCCAGCAAAGACTGATAGATGCAGTAGAACAGCTAGAATCTGAAATCAAAAGTCTCTAAATTTTGGAGCATCATTAAGTATTCCAATATGTTTCTGAATGTAGCTTTCCTTTATTTACAAATGTTATGGTCCTCAGTGCCCTCTGGACAAAAATCAAACTCTATTGCTTATTCAATGGAGCTCTGTTTCATTTCACTCCTGTAGACCTCTACAGTCTTACTGGCTATAAATTCTAGACATACTTGAAGATATGACCATGTTGATTATCTCATAATTTTGTAATAAAGGAGTTCACTCTGTTTAGTATATATTATTAATTAGAGTGATATTCACAAATCATAGTGATATTCAAAATAAGTCTCATGACAATTGCTTAAATGTATACAAAATATTTTGATCATACTCACACCTGATTATTCTTTTTTAATTTTTTATTGGATATTTTATTTATTTACATTTCAAATGTTATCCCCTTTCCCAGTTTTCTCTCCACAAACCCTCTATCCCCTCCCTCTACCCCTCTGCTTCTATGAGGGTGCTCCCCCACCCACCCACTACCACCTCACCATTTTGTCATTCCCCTACACTGAGGCATCGAGCCTTCACAGGACCAAATGTCTCTCCTCCCATTGATGCCAGAAAAGACAGTCCTGTAGTACATATGGAGCTGGAGCCATGGGTCCCTCCATGTGTACTCTTTGCTCCGTGGTTTAGTCCCTGGGAACTCTGGTGGGGATCTGGTTAGTTGATATTGTTGTTCTTCCTGTGGTGATTCTAACTCCTTCAGCTCCTTCAGTCCTTTCCCTAACTACTCCACTGGGGTCCCCACACTTAGTCTGATGGTTGGCTGCATGCATCCTCATCTGTATTGGTCAGGAATTGGCACAGCCTATGAGGGAACAGTGATACCAGGCTCCTGTCAGCAAGCACTTCTTGGCATCAACAATAGCATCTGGGTTTGGTGTCTGCAGATAGAATGAATCCCTAGGTGGGGCAGTCTCTAAGTGGTCTTTCCTTCAGTCTCTGCTCCACTTTTTGTACCTGCATTTCCTTTTGACAGGAGAAATTCTATTTTTGAGCTAAGTGGCCACACCCCTCAACTGAGGACCATGCCTACCTACTGGATATGGTCTCTACAGGTTCTCTCTCCCCTTTGTTGGGTATCTCAGCTAATGTCATCCCTGTTGGGTCCTGGGAACCTCTTGGGCCCCTGGCATCTGGAACTTTCTAGTGGCTACCCCCAGTTTTCCATCCCCCACTCCTACATACCTCCAATTTCCTGGCTCTCTGTACTTCTTCCTCATATCCTCCCACACCTGACTCTGCCCCCTTCTTCCCCTCCCCTCCTTTCTCCTTCCAAGATCCCTCCCTCCCTCTACCTCCCGTAATTATTTTCTTCCTCCTTCTGAGTAGGACTGAAGCACCCACACTTTTGTCTTTCTTCTTCTTGGGAGAAAACCACTCTTAACATTGGGCTTTAGCATATACAGGTTCTATGTATCAAAATGCAGTTTTTCAAAGACTTCTCTCACCAGGAGCATCTACATATTTCTTTAATATTTCCATGCATAGTTCTCCTCTACCAAGAAATATTTTCTAAGATGTGTTTGAGGTAATACATCTCCTCCTTCTCAGGTGTTTCCATTGTTATGCCATACTATGCTGTTTACCAGCTCTGAATTAAAATGCCATCTTGGTGGGTTTTTCCTTTGATGATTATGAAGTGTCCTTCCCCATTTCTTTTGATTAATTTTGGTTGAGAATTTATTAGATATTAGAATGGCTACTTCAGCTTGTTTCTTGGATCTATTTGCATGTAAAACTTTTTTCCAGCACTTTACTCTGAAGTAGTGTCTATCTTTATTGCTCAGGTATGTTTCTTGTATATGGAAGAATGATGGATCTTGTTTTCACATCCATTTTGTTAGCCTTTGCCTTTTTATTGGGAAATTGAGGCCATTGATGTTGAGAGATATTAATAACCAGTGATTGTTCTTTCCTGCTATTTTTATTCTGCTGCTGCAGATGGTGGGGGTGTGTAGAGGTGTGGATGTATGTAGTTGGGGGTTCTATAAGTTTCTTGTTTGTTTATAAGCATCTCTTCCTTTAGGTTGAGAAAGTTTTCTTCTATGATTTTGTTGAGAATATTTTCTTATCCTTGGAGATGGAATCCTTCATCTTCTTCTATTCCTATTCTTAGGTTAGGTATTTTTTTACTGTCCCATATTTCCTGGATCTCTTGTGTCATGAATTTTTCAGATTTAACATTTTCTTTGATTGAACTATAAATTTCTTCTACCATATCTTCTACTCTTGAGATTCTCTATCCCATCTCTTATATTCTGTCGGTGATGCTTGCATCTGCAGTTCCTGTTCTCTTTCCTATGTTTTTATCTCCATGACTCCCTCTAACTGTATTTTCTTTATTGCTTCTATTTCCATTTTCAGGTCTTGAACAGTTTTATTCATTTCCTTCACCTTTTTTATTATATTTTCCTGTGTTTCTTTAAGGGATTTATTACTTTCCTTTTTTTTTTTTTTTTTTGGTTTTTCAAGACAGGGTTTCTCTGTATAGCCTTGGCTATCCTGGAACTCACTCTGTAGACCAGGCTGGCCTCAAACTCAGAAATCCACCTGCCTCTGCCTCCCAAGTGCTGGGATTAAAGACGTGTGCCACCACTGCCCGGCTACTTTCCTTTTTAAAAGCCTCTACCTGTTTGATTGTATTTTCCTGAATTTCTTTGAGAGATTTATTCATTTCCTTTCTAAAGGCATCAATCATATTTATAAAGTTTAATTTTCTTGTACTTAGGATATTTAGGGTTTGCTATAGTGGAATAGCTTTGCTCTCTGTAGGTGCCATGCTGCCCTGGCTCTTGTTATTTGCATTCTTACCCTGGCCTTTAGCCATCTGGTTTCCATGATATAGTAGGTATCTGAAGGCAGTCTTAATCAGTAGGCCTCTATTGGACGGTCTTGAACTAGATGTTCTTGGTATAGCAGAATAGGATGTTCCTTGTACAGTGGGCCTGTATGTTTCTTGTTCAGTGGGCCTGATAGAGGCTGGTAAACAGTGGAGCTCCAGAAACAGCCCACAGCTAGCTCAGTGCAGCTGGGCAGGATCCATGGGACAGGCAGGAGAATGGGTATACATATATGAAAGGTAAGAGTATCATCTCTGACACTGCTTAGAGGACCAGACACCAGAGGCTGGGTAGACTAGTGACCATACAACCAAACAGAACTTAGAAAAAAAGTTCGATGAACTGATTTCAAATAATATACTGCTGTACTCAAAGATTGGTACCTAACCCAACTGTCATCAGGGAGATTTCATCCCGCAAGTGAAGGAAACAGATACAGAGAGACATAGCCAAACATTAGGCAGAGTTTTTTGGAATCCTGTGGAAGAGGCAAGGAAGAATTGTAGGAGTCAGAGGGTTCAAGGATGCTACAAGAAAACCCACAGGAACAAGAAGCCTGGACTCACAGGGCCTAATAGAGACTGAACCAACAACCAAGGAGCCTGGATGAACTGACCTAGGCCCTCTGCATACATGTTATAGTTGTGTAGCTTGCCGTTTTGTGGTATTTCTAACACAGAGATCAGAGGCTGTTTTGTTGCTTTTGCCTGCTTTGGGGGCCCTTGTCCTCGTATTGTATTGCCCTGTCCAGCCTTAAGATGAGTGAGGTGCCTAAGCTTATTGCAACTTGATATGTCATGTTTGGTTGATATTTCTGGGAAGCCAGCCCTTTTCTGAAAGGAAATAGAGCAGGAGTGTATAAGGAGGGAAGAGAGGAGAAGAGCATGGGGGTGCAGAGTCAGAGAGGGGAAACATGTCCAGATGTAATATATGAGAGAATAAATTAATTTCAAAAATGAAAAAGAGATTCAGGAATGTGAGCACCACTCGACATTGTTTTGAGGAAAATCCTCTTTTCTTGTGTGAAATATGAACAGCAGGATTTCTGGTCTCTTCTACGAGTCCAATCAAGAGCAACTGAGAAATAAGTGCTTCAAGGAGAAACTTCCTTTTGCCTATGGAGCAAAAGGTGTAGAAATCCTGTGGTCAGGAACTCAGACCACATACATCCTGTTGGGTCTACTGTCTCAGAAGTATCTGTTGTCTGTGGATGCATGCAAACAGAAGCTAACTGGGCTGAGGCCATATCAGTATCATGGCCCCACAGGATATCACATTCCTGTATTTCGGTAAGTCCTGAAATGAAAGTGAGTTAGCAAGAAGACAGGGCTCCCACAAAAGCTAGACATTCTCTTAACATGAATACTAGGTGATTTTAGTGGCAGCCAAGGATAGTTTAATTTCCTTAGCATTTTGCTGAGGTGGCAATAACTGGGTCTCTGTTCAAATTCATGACATACTATTAGGGCTTCATGGTGAGTGCTGGGCTTTCTGAGAGGGGAAGGTAAAGGACTGAAAACTTAAAAGTGACTCTCAAGGCTGTGGTTATTTTCTAAAAGTACTATTTTGAATGTACAAAAATACATGGGAAAGCTAAAGCTAGAAAAATGAGACACAAAAGTAGATGATAGAAAATAGATACATAGACACATATACATACATACATACATACATACATACATACATATATAATACATACATATATTTACTATATAGCTCATTGTGTGGGGGTATCTGTACCAGAATTGTATACAAGAGGCCTAAATTTTTACCACTTGATTCTCTTCCAGTGGTCTGTCTAGGTCAGACAATTTGGGCACAAGAAGGTAAGTGTCCTATAAGTCTCGTCCTTTGCCCCACCTTAGATACCACTCACAACACTCTGGTGTAGAATAATGGAAATATAGTCTGAAGCCCAGGTAAATTCCCCATCCTGTACCCATTTTTGTGTCTTTTGTTTCCTTCAGTGTTACCTCACTCTGAAGATCCTAGAACCCTCTGGGAGATACAGCCTTTCGCTGTGCTAGCTCCTTGTCTCAAAAAGACCTGTATTGTATGGTGGAATCTTCATAACAGGAAGTCATGAGTTGTCTGTCTTTGCCTAACATCCTTCTGAGTGTTGATTCCCTTTTTCTCCAAAGTCAAGTTTATTTACTTCACTTATTTAGAGGAAGTTGCCTAATCTAGCCCTATTGTACACCCATGTACACAATGTTGAACCCTAAGTAATACTGAGTAGGAAAGCACCAACTTGAACTAAAAGAGAGCACTAATAGTGTTGAATTCTGCATACTCTGACACTCTTAACTCCTGTTTTGGTCTCCTAATACTTATGACCTCCTCATCTAACCATGTCTTATCTCTACAGACTCCTTCTAAAGACAATAGCCTGAGTCATTTGTATGCTTAAGATACAGTTCTCTATATCTCCCTCTTATGGCTCCTCAGATCTGTCTTAAGTGAGTCCTACAATGTTCCAGGCTCTCTCCCACCATCTCTCTTGTCTCTTCTTCACCCACTCTTGCCTTCAATGAACTTATCTTTCCCCTTTTCAATTTTTCAACTCTCAGCCCTCCCTGTCTTATGTCCTTGGCAATTCCTCCACCTCCCTTTCCACTTCCACACAAGTCACCTGATATCCTTTTCTAGAACTTTGCACTATGGATCAGAGGCCATACTGTGTACTTGAGATCATAACTACACAAGTTTGCAGGGTACAACATAATGTAACATATCAATGTATTCACACCTTATGTACTAATCAAACCAGATAATTAATACTGCTATCTTCGCATATGAAAAGACCACAGCATGCATGCAAAGGTCAGAGGACAACCTCAGATATTTGTCCTTGCCTTTTATTGTAGTACTACATTATGTTTAGAGCCTTCCAATTCCTCTCACTTTCATTCATAAACTATATAACATATTGTTGGAAACTTTAGTCATCTAGCTGTGTAGAAGAGAACTAGTATTTATCTAAAAGTGCCTATCTTTCACCTCTCCCCACTTCATCATACCTGCTAGCCTCTAGTGACCACTATTCTACATTCATGTCAACTTTTATTGTCATCATCAATTATTGTTTATTTAACCTTATATCTACAGGGCAAAATTTGATGTCACATGTATGCTAAGTACTCCTTCAATGTCTTCTAAATGACTAAATTGACTGTTAGGATCAGGGATAGAATTACTTGCTTGTTTTAAATATATAAAATCTTGGAGGTAGTCATAAACCTCATTTTGGTTCTATAGGTAGTTAATGGGTTCTAAAGAAGGGATGTCATTTTTTTCCATTGGTGTAGTCTCTATTAAGTAACTCACATGCTACTAAATAAATTCCAACTCGTGTTCAGGAAGCTCCAGTAAAAATTGATGGGTCAAAAGAAGACATCACAGTAGAAGTGGCTTCTTGAGAAGAGTGGTTTCAGCAATAGGGCATGAGGATGAGATAGGGAGATGGGGGATGGTGAAAATGGCCAAAAATAGTGTGTACATATTTGAAAGTAAAAGGGTATTTTAAAATCAATTTCCTAAACATGCACATATGAAACTGAAGGTACCTTACTTGGATTTTGGTTTGGTTTGGTTTGGCTTTGTGATGGTAAGGATCAAATCTAGGACTTGCTGCGTCATAGGAAGCATTTCACCAGCTGAGCTTGATCCACAGAACAGGTGCATCTTAGTGAAGGAAAATGGAAGGTTTTCAGTGTCCCATTGCCTATTCTTAAAACCTGAAAGTGAGGCCTTCAAGATGAAAATATCACTTGTTCAAGGCTAATCAACAGTGATATAAGAAAAGTCAGGAAGACAACTAACATGTTCTGGCTTTCTGTGGGGTCCTGGATGCTGCACCAGGATCTGCCCATTTCCAACTCCAGCTTTCCCAGCCCTGTCCCACAGAACTCATCATCCCTCTGTCAGATACATGTGTGAGTGTGTGAGTGTGTGAGTGTGTGTGTGTGTGTGTAATATAATATTATGTATACTTCAACATTTGCAATATACCACAAAACAACTATTTTCTTTAAAAGGGTATTTATGTTTGTGCTGGTGAGTACAGGACACACTTGCTATTATTTGCTTTCAGGTGATGTCCACCTTGTTGAGTCTTTTTAATCTTTAACTAAATTTGTTATCTGACAAGTTCATTCATACATATAGTGAATTCTTATTGTTGACACTCCCACACTTTCTCTTACCTCCCTTCCATACCTATTACCCCTTTCTACAAGTCTCCATCAGATGCTCATGTGTTTCTACTTTGTTCTGTGACTCACTGAGTTTAACCAGGGCCATCTGCGTAACCATGGGTTTGGAGCTATTCACTGGATTCTGGTGGACTCCCTAGTGAGTCCACAGCTGAAGATAATGCTAACCCCTTCCTCAGAATCCATCAGTAATCAATACTTCAGCAAAGAAAGGTAGAGCCATCTCCCATCATTGGTTATGGATAAGCCCAGTCTTATGTACGATTATTGCCAGCAGCAGCTGCTGCTGTAAAATATATTTGCATTGACTATGTAATCCCCCAGAGGATCACACTTCACAGCTCTTTCCCTATCTTCCAGCCCTTACATTCTTTACACACACCTTCCAATTATGTTCCCTGTGCCTTAGAGGACTTGGTTTTAAAAAAGACCCTTTCAGGGCTGTACATGCATCCTTTACAAATTCTCAGCACCACAGGCAAGCTTGAGTCTCTGCATTCACTGCTGTTTGTTGAAGCAGGGTGTCTCACTGTCCTGAGGCTCACTGACTAGGCTAGCCAGAGTGGCTGTCAAGCCCAGGAATCTGCTTGTCTCTGCCACTTCAGTGGGATTATAAATACACACCACCGCCCCTGATTATTTATATGGGCTCTGGGAAGACAAAGCCTGGTCCTCATTCTTGCAGGTCAAGCACTTTATCAACTGAGATATTACTCCAGACACCCAAAATACTATCTTGAAATGGTTATATATGCTCACAGTTTCATGTACCCCAAAATAGAATAAAATGGCTTCTGCAAGCCATCTGAGTCTAGACTTTGTTTCATTTCAGAATTTCCCGTTCCTACCATCTCCACTGCAGCAAAACCTATGGTTCCCTGGAATGGATCTGTGAGGATCCTGTGCAGGGGAACACCCGAAGCCTTCCTGTATCAATTGTCCCTGATGAAAAACTCCACACAGATGGTTATAGAAAAGAAATTAGGATTTCAAAAAGAGGCTGAATTCACTATCAACCACATGAATTCAACACTGGCAGGATGTTATCAATGTCAGTATAGGAAGAAGTACCATTGGTCAGAGTGGAGTAAACCCCTGAAGCTGGTGGTGACAGGTAAGGAGACATCTTATGAGCCTGCCTTCTGCTAGCTATTTTGTCTTAATTGTAGCAGGCCTTGGTTTTGTTGGTGGTGTTGGTGTTGATGTTGTTGTTGCATGTTAATTGCATTTGTTAGAAGATAATTTCATGCAAGTACACAATTCATATTGGCCACTCTCACCCCCCACTTCTATTCATTTTGTTTCATAAATCACTAAGTTTAACTAGAGCCATATTTATTAATAAGGGTGTGGAGGTATCTTCTGGAGCCTGGAGGGCTCAGCAGTAGGTATACAACTAAAGATAATGATTCCCCCTCCCAGAGTCTATCAATAGCCAATAGTTTCACCATAAAGTGCAAGACCCCTAGATTACTCCCTCATTTTCCAGTTCCCCTACTTCTTTGACATACTATTGACAGGGATGCTCTCATGTAGGCCCAGTATGGGCAATTACAGTTGTTGCATGTTATTAATTGTGATGGTGCTATCAAGTCTATAGAATGATAGTTAGTTGCTCTCACCTTGTCTTCTAACATGTACTTCCATTCACAGTGTTCCTTAAGTCTTAGACAGAGGTGGTATAAATGTCTTCATGTCTTGGCTCACAACCATCATTATTCTTCGCATCTTGGGCAGCCATAAGTCTGCACTCAATGATGTTCATACTTTTAATCTTTATTTAAATTTTATTTATTTACATATCACACAATATAATTTTATCATACTCTACCCCCCCATTCTTCCCATATCCTCCTCACTTCACATACTTTTAGGATAGCTCTAGGTTCATAAAAAAGCTGAGATGTTGAAAACCATTTCTATCTCTCCAGTGCACAGTCTCTCTATTGCTAACATCCAACATTAGTGTATAGAAAGTGTCTCATGAAGAATGAATGAATAGATATCAATACATCTGTCTTAGTCAAGGTTTCTATTCCTGCACAAAAATTATGACCAAGAAGCAAGTTGGGGAGGAAAGGGTTTATTCAGCTTACACTTTCACATTGCTTTTGATCACTGAAGGAAATCAGGATTGCAACTCAATCAGGTCAGGAAGCAGGAGCTGATGCAGAGGCCATGGAGGGATGTTACTTACTGGCTTGCTTCTCCTGGCTCGATCAACCTGCTTTCTTATAAAACCCAAGACTACCAGCCCAGGGAAGGCACCACCCACAATGGGCCCTCCCCCCTTGATCACTAACTGAGAAAATGCCTTACAGCTGGATCTCATGGAGGTATTTTCTCCACTGAAGCTCCTTTCTCTGTGATAATTCCAGCTTGTGTCAAGTTGACACACAAAACCAGCCAATGCAACATCCTTCATAACTGATGTCTACAGTATATTCAGAGTTCCTTAGTTTCTATCTAAATGAGATTTATCTAATTCTAGACCCCTTCAAAGATATCACATTGAATTTAGTCCTCTCTCAGCTATCACAGTTTCTGTTGGGCTGATACTTTTCTCATAACTACACTGGGTCATGGGCCATTACAAAAAGACCAGACGCAATGCATGTTGTATTCCAACTGTTCTTACCACACACAAAAAAGAAAAGTATGTGAAATGAGACATATGCTAATCTACCCTAACTAGCCATTGTACAATGTATACTTGTATCAAACATTACAGTATGCATGATAAATACACAAAGCCTTTTTAATTTAAAAATAAGACAGATGTGATGATGCTCTCTAATGTCGCCATCCATGGCTACATAATGAGTTTGAATTCAGTCGAGGCTACATGAGAGCTTGTTGAAAGAGAGGTGTCAGAGACCAGCCTTGGCTGAGGGCAGGGTCTGGAGAAGGGTGGATGAAAGAGCTATGAAGGGAAGGATCAGACATGGGACATCATTCACTTCATGAGAGACTGGACAGAGAGGAAGCACATCTCACTATGGCTTCTCCTACTCTGACAACTTTTGATTCTTTCCAGCTTTATTTATACATAAAATCATTTCCTTAGAAATTTTATGCATTGACTACACAGATTTTCAAAATACATTTTCTTCTCAAGTCTTCCTTGATTACATAAGAATATTAAAAGTGGGACAAAGTGAGCAACAGCAATCTTATAAGAACAAAAAGTTAACATTATGATAAAATAAATTTTCTTTAAACTTAATGTTATCCTCCTTAAGATTGGTGTGGTAAAGCCTTGCAGTTACAGAAATGCTAGACAGGATTACTCTATTTGAATTTGATTTTGTTTCAGTTTGGCATAAGATTAATAGATCAAACATTATTTCCTACTATCTATTATGTCAAACTTGACTTTCTATAGAAGTTCAGCCTTTAACCCTTATTTAATTCTTCCTTTCCTTCTTCTATATTTCTTTCATATCTGGCAAAAGACCACCGTCCTTTTTCTTTGACTCTTAAAATATTGTGCAGTTCCTTTGCTTAAGCAAGGAAAGTTCTGTAAATTTCTGTAAAGTTCTGTAAGTATCAGTAAAGTTCTGGTTTGACAAGTCTGTTCAGGAAGGCAGGCAATTCACTGAGCCAGGGTGCTTCCCTCTGTGTTTCTGTCTTGAACCCTTGTTCCAATACGATTCAAATCTTCATTATAATTCTGTAAATGACAGAAGTACATCACTGCTTACTTTTGCCTTCAGGAAGGCACCAAGGCTTGTCATAAACTTGCATGATCAAAATGTCTTCCTATACACACAAGTTCCTTGTTTCTAAAGTTGAACATTAAAACCCTAGCAATACAATTACAAGTTGTCAGTTTCTAAAATTTCCCTACGTTTTTCTTCTTTAATAACTCTTCTCAAATTTTCTTTCTCATGCTTACTAACAACACTCATTAGTGATCTGAATATTTATTTAAGTAATAAGTTCTTATCAAAGGCTCAGTTTTCTTGATAGCTATTTTTTCTAGGAACTTTCATTAATTTCATTCTTGTTTACATTAGCTTTTTGTTATTCCAGCTCTAGCTTTTGGAGAGAGGCCGTTAGCAGTAAGAAGCATAAGTGTAATAAAAGTTGTGCCGCGAGTATCCATCAAGAGCAGTGAAGGGTCAGTCCAGATTGTCCAAACTCCAGAACTTTGTCAAACAGCACCTTTATGACGCTTGGCATGGCCAGAGAAGGGTGCAAAGGAAGGAAAGGAGGGATAGAGGGAGGAAGAAGAGAGGGTAGGAAGGGGACAGAAGTGGAGAGGAGAGTGGAGGGAAGTGCAGAGGAGAAGATGGAAAGAAAAGCTTGGTGTGTTGGTACACATCAGTAATCTCACTACTTGAGAAGCTGAGACAGAAAGACCATGAGTTTAAAGCTAACCTGAGCTACATTTTAAGACCCTGTCTCAAAACTTAAGTAGTTTTTATTTTAAATCAATATATAAAAAATGGTACTGTCTTTGTGTATTGTACACAAGGTTATGGATTCTATCCCTATCACAAACAATAAATTTGCTTTTGTTCTTGTTAAGTTATTTTGCTTGTGTTTAGTATTGCATCTACCTTCATGTCACACAGCCATACATTAATTTATATATCTATGTAAAAGTCTGTGATCCACAAATGAGGGAAAATGTGATTCTTTTTCTGAGTCTGACTTAATTACTTTACTTAATAATTTACTTAATGTAACAATCCTCAGTCATATCCGTTTTCCTACCAATGACACAACTTTGTCTTTGCGGTTGCAAACAACCCTGTTGTGCATTGCATTGGTGCAGACAGGCATATAGGTTTATTCCATTACTTTTCTACCTGTGAGACAGGGTCCTACTATGTATCCCATGCTAACCTTAACTCATGACTTTCCCACCTCACCTCTTAAGTACTGAGATTGCATTCACAAAACATAACACCTACCTAGCTGCAAATAAAATTTTTAAACAGGAAAAAGAGGACATCTCTTAGTTGATTTACTCAACTGAATTTTCTTCCTATTAAAAGAATTATTTATTTATGTATATGGGTGTTTTGTCTGAATATATGTCTTCACACTAGAAGAGGGCATCAGATCCCATTAGACTACCATGAAGGATGGTTGTGAGCCACCATGTGAGTTCTTCGAATTGAACCCAGGCACCCCTGTAAGAGCAGTGCTCTTAATTGCTGAGCTATCTCTCCAACACCATTAATTAAGTTTTTAATTATTTTCTGTGTGTGTATTTTTGCTTGCATGTATGTCTGTGCACTATGTAAATGCAGTGCTCTTAGAAGCCAGAAGAGAGCATCAAATCACCTAGAACTGGAGGTACAGACAGTAATGACTCTGGACAAGCAGCCAATGCTTTTACCTGTCGACCCATTGCTCCAGCACCTGAAAAAATTTTTTTAAAGAACAAAATTTTGCTAACATCTCATTGTCTACTCTTCCAGGCTTTTATGACAAACCCGTCCTCTCCACAGATCAAAGCCTTGTGTTGAGACCAGGAGAAAACATTTCCTTCAAGTGTAGTTCAGCACACAACCTGTTCAACCGATTTTCACTGGCCAAGGAAGAAGAAGCTTCCTTGCCATTGCACCAACATGAAGAGTATCAAGGCAGCTTCCACCTGGGACCTGTGAACCCTGACTTCACTGGACACTACAGGTGCTATGGCTGGTATAGCAACAGCCCCTATGCGTGGTCAGCCCCCAGTGATGCCCTGGAGCTCACTGTCACAGGTAGATGCATCACAGCCCAGCTCTTTGATGTTCACCAAGACTATCTCTAGGTAGGAGTATAAAGAGATGTCCTGAGATAAATGAGTATGGCATTTGAGACTCATTCTCCTGAGTAACATGAAGAGAAAGAGGCTTCTCACTTACTCCACACTAATCTTCTGAAGTCTTCTAGGGTGTTCCCTTCAGAAAGTTGTGGTTTCTTTTTTAAAGAAAAATAC